GGTGGTGGCGACTTTGGCGAGATTGGCACCACCTACCCCGCACCTGAGCCTCGTCGCGATGGTGGTGGCGACTTTGGCGAGATTGGCACCACCTATCCCGCACCTGAGCCTCGTCGTGATGGTGGTGGTGACTTTGGCGAGATTGGCACCTACTACCCCGCGCCTGAGCCTCGTCGTGATGGTGGTGGTGACTTTGGCGAGATTGGCACCTACTACCCCGCGCCTGAGGCTCGCGAGGCTGACGAAGCTCATGCCGGTGATGACTTTGGCGTCATTGGCACGTACTATCCTACAAACGAGGCATAAAGCCCCAATCTCCTTCCGTCCAGAACCCTCACCGTGGGTTTCCCGTAGTCCGTATCCGTAGACCGTGGTGTGGTCATACGTGGTCCGTAGTCTGGCCACAGACACCCCGTAGTGTGGTCTTCCGTAGTCGTTAGTCCACCGCTCAAAAGCTCTTGTTTCTTCTTGTTGTCTCTCTGTCTTTGTGCTCTTTTTCCTCATCTACTCCTGTCTCCTCAGTCACTCCTGTCCGTTGCTGCTTTGGTCGCTCTTATCGTCCATGTATGCAAATAGCATTTCCATTGTCTTTATACTTCGTCTTGAGTATCTCTCACAGAGCCGTGTCCAGCATTGCCTCTTTCTCCTCTGCACTGCCTCTCGCTCAGCTTTCATGCTGCCTTTTCTTCTATATGACTGTCCCGTCGCCTTCCTTTCCCTTCGCTGCTTTCCCTTCGCTGCTTTGCAACAGTCATCTGCCTCGTAATAAGTCGCTGGCTTCACCTCTTGTGCTCGCAGGCAGACCCTTGTCCTGACTGCCTGGCCGACTGTAACTCTACAGCTACAACAAAGAGATGCGCGAGGTCGATTTCCCCTTTGAAAAGGCTCTCCGAGGTGTGACCTCACCTAGATAAGCAATGACATAAAGTCTGCAGCTGCCGTACGTAGTGCCTCTGAGGAAGTCTGTGCTCGCATAGCATGTTGTCAAGGTAGTTCAGATGAGCATTAACCGCCGGGAGAGTAATCCTCCGACCCTGATACATGCTATCACTTTGCCTTGTCGTTTTGTTTCTCGCCCTCGCCCGTCTTACTTTTCTTGACGTCCGTCTTGCGCTTGATCCCCAGCAGTCCTCCACCATCTCTCTTCCGCTTAGCCTTGGCGGCAGAAGAAGTCGCATTGACTGGTGAGGCTGACGACTTTACGGCTGCTGCTGCAGCTCCTGGCGAGGCTGCCTTGCCATTCGATGTTGTCGGAGCGGGAGAGGACGCTGCTGGGGGCGGTGAGTTGCTTAGGGCCTTGGGAAGCAGGGAAGATGGAGGGGGAGGAGACGTCTCCTTGTTCAGAGCCGCCCTAGAGTACAAGAAGTCATTTCTGCGTCAGCATATCACCTTTCAGGGACTCGTCAACGGTGCACTCCACCAACTCACATCCTAAAAGCCTCCAACTCTCTCCTCTCCTCGTCCCTCTTCCTCCTCTCCGCGTCCCGTCTCTCCCTCTCTACCTCGGCCAAGAAATCACTCTCCCCTTCATCAATTCCTCTAAACTGATTGCTCAATTTCCAAGTCTCATCGAACTTCTCCTGCTTGGAATTCTTCTGCGCCTGTAAGCGCTCAAAGAGGGATCGTGGGTCGTACTCTTCCTTGGCGCCTTCTCCTACTCCGCCGGAAGAGGAGGGAGGGGGGGATTGGCCGATGCGGGCATAAGCTTCCTTGAGGCTTTGCTCTCGCTTCTTCTGGGCTTCGCTGAGCTCCGTAGAGGAGACGAAGCGGGAAGCGACGCTGCCTTCCTTGGCTACATTGAAGGGATTCGACATAGCGGGGTTGAAGTGCGGGGTGAGCAGCGGATTTGGGGCAAGGTAAGGCGGCCTCCGCTCAAGAAAGGCTGCGGATGGCAAGGGATCAGGCGAGCGCCCCGACAACAGAGTCTGGATACTGCTGAGGAGGGCGACGGCGAGCTAATGAAGACGGTTTACTGAGGTACGGGAACCAGCCATGAACATTGGCCATTTGAACTCGTAGGCCATCGCAATTCAAACTCCCTTTCCGCATCCTTCGTACCAGATTCATCCGAACAAGGCGTCAACTTCAGAAGCATACGTGGTATTGACAAGGGCACATACATGCGTGATCACAAGTACATTATTTCTGCAAACGATACACATCTGCTTTGCTCCCCGCTACCTGACTATCCACAGACGATATCCTTCGCACGGCGAATTGACCCCAGCCGCGTCGCCTCCCTCAGCCCCGCCCAGCGGTGGACCAGGCACAAGGAAGATCTCTAGGAGATTGGGCCCCCTCTGCAGTGGCACCAGGACAGTCGCCGTGTCTCTTGTCCAAGTTGCATTGACTTTGCGCCCATTCAGGATGGTGGATACTGCCGGATTGTAGGACTTCGTGGAGGTCGTCTGCTGCGCTTCGGAATGCGAGGCGTGCCCATTGACGCCTGGCTGGGTGGCCCCATTGGCTTGTCCGCTGACTTCCTCACCATCGACGTCCATGGCCTCTCCATTGGCTTCAGTCCGCTCGGAGCGCTCACTGCCAACGGTATTCTGCTTCTGTGGCGCGCCTCCAAAGTCCCGCAACCTGAACAACACCTTGACATCGCTCCTCCCCTCGCCCACAGGCAGGACGAATTGGCGGCTGCTGCCAGCAGCGCTCGTAGAAGCAGCAGGGACCACATTAATGACCTTCTTGAGGCCCTGAGATAGCACGACGAAGCTTGGGATCGCAGCCGGGCGCAGGGGTGCGGCGGCTCCGTCCTGCTCCATCAATGGCTTAGATGCGATGTTGCCAAAGACAGAGGGAGGTGGAATACCGGAAAGACGTCGGATTTGGCCTCTCTTGCCTAGATCGACAGTCTCTGCAGGCGGGGCCGGAGCAGCGTATGGCAGTTGACCGAAGTACTGCTGCTGCTGCTGCTGGGGATAGCGCTGTGGAGGAGTATAGTAAGGCGGTTGCCCACGGTAGCTTCCCTGTGACTGAGGCTGAGGTCGCTGTTGCTGCTGGGGCATCGAATGACTAGGAGTCACGCCCTGATGAGGAGTGTAGCCTGGCCTGAATTGTGGCACTTGGGCCTGCGGGGTATTGGTACCTCCGGGCGCAGGAGGTGAGCGAGCAGGTCCAGGGGTGCTGTTTTGAGTGGTCAAAGGTGGAGGCAGGTCTCTCGAGGAGGGAGCTCGCGAGGCAGCTGATCTTACAGGTCGACCGCTGGCAGAGAACTGTGGGGCTGCCGCTTCCGGAGACATCTGGCCGTTAGGATGACTTTGTAGCTCTGGAGACTGACCTGGCCCGGCTCCGGGTATGTGACCAGGGCTCGCGAAGCTGCCCAGTGTAGCTGGCTGCTGTTGTCCAATGCCATTCGGCAGGTAGTCCTGACCTGGCAAGCTGTTCCTTCCGCCTAGCTTTACCTTCAGGCGAGAGGAGCTGGCTTGACCTGGTGGTGGCGTCATACTTTGGGCAGGGCTACCAGGCTGGCTCGCTTCGTGCGCTTCGATCACGTGCAAGGGAAGGACGCTGCTCCTGGTGTCATTTGGGTCCAGAGTGAAGCCAAGCTCAAATGCGATTGGCAGCATTTTGGTGTTGACGTGCCGTTCGATCGCATCCGCATCCTGCCAGATGATGCTATTCTCTTCGTTGTAATATTTTGCGTTGGCGATCATCGTTTGCACTGCTGTGAAGAAGGCATAAGGCGACTTGTACAGTCTTTCGCTGACGTTCTCGTTGATCTCCTTCAGCGAGATTGGCTGCTGAATGACTTGGTAGTAGTCCGGGTAGTCGTCTTGACTCGGCAGCTCTTCGAAGAAGTCCGATGCATAGTCATCGGGACCGCCGCCGGGTCGCTTGAGGTCAATGAGCTCAGCGACCCATTGTTTCATCTGGCTCTTGAGATTCTTGCCGCGGCCAAAAGGCCTCCTTCTCTTGTCTGCGCCGTTGTTCCTGACCACGGAAGGTCCTGGTGAGGACTCGGGCGGGTAGCTCTGTGAGAGTTGGGAGGAAGACGGGGCCTCTTGAGGCAATACTGCAGCTGGTGGTGTTTTCTCTTCAGCAGACACTGGAGCCCGGGCTGGGGCCTGAGCGGGCGCTGGCGCCGGAGACGAAGGGATGGGGGAAGGTGCACTCGATAAGCCGGTGGAAACCCCAGGTGAGGACGCCACTGCATCTTTAGCAGTTAGGGCCTCTACAGCGGGCGGTCGTGGAGGAGCTGACGTCTCGGCTTGACTGCCCGACTTTTTCTTGATGGTGATCCGACGCAGACCCGACGGCTGCTTCGTGCCGGATGAAGAAGCTACATCCTCCATACTGGTGTCCTCTTCACCAGCAGTCTCACTTGCGTCTGCCTCCTGCTTTCTCTTCTTCGCCGGCGACGGCGGTGCAGAGGTCATGGGCTCTACGCCTTCCACTTGAACATCGAAGAGTAGCTGAACGCTAGCAGGCAGATCAAGCTGTGTACTCTTGGTCCCAGCCGCTGCAAACGTGAGCTCAGCATGGGAATCCTTGATGATGCTGTGGAGTGCCTTGGCCTTGAGCCAGAAGGGTGTATCTCTAAGGTTGTACCTCTTTGCGTTCATACAGATGATCTCACAATCATGCTTGACGTCTTCGAAGGATGCGTACTCCCGGACGGCGAGCTTGGCGCGAATGTCTTCGAAGGTGAGTGGCCGCTTGATGATCTGATAGTAGTCTGGGTAGATGGCAGCATCGGGCAAAGCGAGGAAGGGCTCTACGAGTAGACTTGTAGGGTCATGCTCCTCTGCGATGTCGCGTGCATGGTAGACTACGTTGAGCAGCTTGTAGCCGAGCTTGGTCACTTCTTCCGGGTCGGTTGTGGTACTCGTAGGCCCGGAGGGGTGTGGTGAGGAGGACGATGCCTTGGATTCTCCGACCTGTTCCAGTCGACTCCGTTTACGACCGCCTTCGAGAATCTGCGTAGTTGGCAAGGGAAGATCATGTCAGCGATGCTGAGGAAGAACATTGTCGCTCTAGATCCGATGAGTGGAGGAGGAAGCGGGCAGGAAGTAGGAAGATCACTTTGCACCTTTCAAAAAAGCACAGGAAGATCTATTCCTCCTCCTTTCCTTGTAGCAAGGCCACGGATGCTTTCTGCAAAGTTAACATCTTCATCGCAGGCCTTCGTACAGCTGTAGGGGCTGACCTTGACCGGTACCAGCCTGTTGAAACCGGCCACATTGGCGTGCGCCTCTCCTGCCAGTGCATGTAGCTGCCTTCCGGACCGCACCCTGATATTTTTACGCGTTGAGAGGTGCCGCCAGTCGCGACGTGAAATGCGTACATGAGACGCCATACTCACATTGGCTGCGCTGACACCTGCGACGGACACCGGACCCGCAGGAGCCATGCTTTATTAGGCCAGAAGAGGTATGAAGATGACGTCGAGGGGCGGATGGTATGCTGATAGGCCGACGCAAGGCTCAAGGGGGGCGAGGCGGAGCAGGCGAGGTGGTAGGCGGTAGCAGCCTGGGTCGCCCCGCGTGCGAGGCCGAGGAAAGCGGAGCCGCGCAACGACGGAAGCAGCGACGGACTCAATCTGAGATTTCCAGATATTCTTGAGCCAGGCGGGGCTGCACTCAGGCAAAGGGGAGCGTACCATACTCCATATATGCGCTAGAGTCAGGTCACAACACCAGCAAGTTGCCATGGTAGAGGCTGGCACGGTACCTTTACCGGGTCCATTGCCCATCTCAGCATCTGGGCCGCCTTTCTCCTCTTTGCCCCCAGGCCTCTCACCCTGGATACTGGAGCACCTTGCCTCCCTCTCCTTCCATACGTCCACGCCGGTGCAGGCGTCGACCATTCCGCTGCTACTCAAGCACAAGGACGTCATCGTAGAGGCAGTGACGGGTAGCGGAAAGACACTGGCATATCTTCTGCCGCTTCTGGAACTCGTCAGAAAGCAGCCGGGCTCAGCCAACGGTGCAACAGCGGAAGAAGACACAATTGCCGGGGACAGAGATGATGGCATCAAGGCTCTCATCCTCTTGCCTACAAGAGAGCTCGCGATCCAGGTTCATACCGTTCTCTTGTCTCTAATAGAGTCTGCGCCGACCTCAGTCAGCTCTTATGTCCGACCACAGCTCGTGGTGGGAGGCGGTAAGACTCGGCATCATGCTGCTCCTGAGCGGGGCGAGGATGAGGAGGACGATGGAGTGGGAGGATCCAACACGCCCCAGCAGGACTTTGCGAGGCTGAGAAAAGAGAGGAACAATGTCATTGTTGGCACGCCCGGACGAGTGGAAGGTCTATTCAGCAAGGGCATCATCAAGGGCAAGGCAAAGACCATGGAACTTCTTGTCCTCGATGAGGCTGATCGTCTGCTGGACCTCGGCTTTCTGCCATCTCTCACATCCATCCTCGCTGCTCTCCCAAAGCAAAGGCGGACGGCCCTCTTCTCTGCAACCATGACCGATGCCCTTGACCAGCTCGTCAGGCTGGGCCTTCGCAATCCAGTGCGCATCACTGTGCGAGTGGAGATGAAGAAGAAACTTCTGGCGAACGGCAAAGCTAGCGCAGGGGCGGCTGCCAGCTCAGAAACCACAGCCCGCATACCCGCATCTTTACAGAATTTCTTCCTCGTCTCTCCTCGCGAGGACAAAGTCTCTCAGCTGGTACGTCTGCTGCAGCACGAGCCTCAGCAGTACTTCACGCAGAAGATCGTCGTCTTCTTTGCCACCTGCGCCCAAGTAGAGTACTTCTTCAAGGTCCTCTCTACGATTCCGCAGCTTCGACATTGTCGTCTGTATTCTCTGCATGGCCGACAGAACCCCACACGCAGGACCAAGGCGTTCAACTCCTTTATGAACGATATGCCGGGCGTTGGCTCTTCCTCCAATGCAGACTTAGCTACCAGCGCCTCGGTCCTCCTCTGCACAGATGTTGCCTCGCGAGGGCTCGATCTGCCCAACCTGGATCTGGTCATCCAATTCGACCCGCCGCAGGACCCAAACCTCTTCAATCACCGTATCGGTAGGACAGCTCGTGCTGGCAAGTCGGGACGAGCCGTCTGCCTACTGGCACAAGGAAGCGAAGAAAGCTACATCGACTTCCTGCGACTGAGAGGCGTGCGAGGGGAGCGGTATATCTTCCCAGCTCAAGACAAAATCGCCTCGGTAGGAAGTGGAAGCAAGTCACTCGCATCGCTCACTCCCTCGCTGCGAGCTCAGAATCTTGCAGACCTCGCCACGCACGACCTCTTCAAGCTGGCGCTGGTGAGCTTTGTCAGGGCTTACGGCAAGCACGAAGCCAGCTACATCTTCCCCAAGAAGGACCTCGATGCCGAGCTACCACAGATGGCGCGCAGCTGGGGTGGTGTCCGACTCCCGAAGATGGGAGAGCTCAGGAAGAGCTCCAAGAGCGCCGGCGGCGCAGAGGGAGTCGACGTCTTGGGTGACTCGGAGGGCTGGCTAGATGGGAAGGTAGACGAGGCTACATGGGCCTACAAGGACCCCGCCAAGGAGAAGGCTCGCGTCCTTAAGCTGACCAACCCCAAGGCTCCAAAGGCCAGAACAGCCGCCGCCTCACTCGACTCGGGCGTGAATCCGGACGCAGAAGCTCCAGTATCGACTGCCATTGACGAGGAGGAGGCTCCTCCTGCTACTGCCTCATCCTCTACTGCATCGCACCGTAAACGCATGCGCGGCGCCGAGGAGAGTGCGCAAGGTGCCTGGTCTAAGCAAAAAGCTTCCAAGGACCGGCGTGATGAGCGCAAGGAGAAGAAGAAGCGCAAGAAGCTCGCCATTGAGCGTGCGCATCAGGAAGCTCTTTCTCTCAAGGAGAAGATGCAGGAGGAAGAAGAAGGAGATGAAGAGATTGCAGAGGAGGAGAGGGCTATCAGGAGGGAGAGGAGAATGAAGAGGCGTGAGATGGATCGGATTGCTGGAGAGAGGAGCTCGAGGGGGGAGAATGCCGTGGGCCTTGATGGGGATGGAGGGCTCGAATTTGGTAGTGGTGGAGAGAGTGATGCTGCTGGGGAAGGGGGTGGAGCAGGGGACAATGACGCGGGCTTCTTTGACGACATGTGACGAGGCGCATACCATAGCCTTCAATATGACCTCGACCTCAACCTCGCTACCTCGTTCCACATCACATCGCATTCTTTGTCTCAGATAGTGTCTATCGACTGCACAGATATGTTTGGATTGCTCTAAGAGAACTCAGACAGACAGTCTGCAACTGCAATTTTGCCTCACTCCAGCTCCTCCTCGGGCACCTCCGCCTCGTCTCCCTCTCCCAAAGCATTCGAGCTAGGGCAAAAGGCCATTAGGATATTATCCTCTGCCGCTGTCGCCATGTGCCATTCTGCCTGTGGACTCCAGCAAATATCCGTCGTCCTCGCCGTGTGTCCACCATGAACAAAGAGGAGCTCGGGTGGTCCATCCTCTGCATCTTCGGGCGTCTGCTCTTCACCGATGCGCGACAGGTCCCAGAGCATTACGCGTCGATCGGCTGCTGCGCTTGCTAGCACAGTAGGGTGGAAAGGGGACCAGGCCAGCTGGAGCACCTCGTCTGTGTGTGCCTCGAGGGAGTGCAGCTTCGTCTTCATGTTGCGCATATCCCATAGAGCTACCGTCTTGTCGCTGGAGCCAGTGCAGAGGATAAACTCATTCGACGGACTGAAGACGACCGAATTGACTTCGCCTGCGTGGGCTTCGATGCGCTGCTTGGGCTCGTCGGCCTTGCCGCGAGTGTCCCAAAGGAGCAATTGACGATCATCGCCCACAGAGGCAAAGAGAGACTCGTGGTAGTTGTGCCAAGCAACGTCTTCCACAATGGCCGTGTGACCGCGGTAGGTCTGCACTGGCTGGATTGTATTGTCGCCCTTTTTGTACGAGTTGATGTCCCAGTGGCATACCGTCGTGTCTTCTGAAGCGGCAAGGATGTGGCCCTGCTTTAGTGGATTCCAAGCAAGACCATATCTAGCAGCGGGAGGAAGAAAGTGAGGGCGACCTGTATCAGAGGGCAACGCTCAGTGACATCTCTCGTCAGCTCCTCCTCTACTCACCCCTCCTTCTCCTGTCCCACCAAGATCATATCCGGCTTACACTTCCCGTCCGCACTAGGCAGCGAGCTATGCTTTGTCCGATCAAAGATGTACGTCGGTCCCATGACGGTCCTCGTTGCAATGAGGTCAATATTTTGTGGGCAATACCTCGCCCTATTCACCTCTCCATCATGGTTAATCTGTTGAATGATCTTGACTCGGGCATTGTTCGAACCATAGGACCCGATTTCACCCTTTTCCTCATCGTACTTTTGCTCGTCCAGCTCAACGACGCGATTGGGCAGTTGGACTTGGGCGATTTGAAGGTAATTTTGATCTTGCCCGGAGGTGTGGGTGCCGAGGAGAAGACGATGTTGGGTATAGGTTCTTCCTGCAGGTCTGAAGAGGCCAATGCCAGCCAATTCAGAAGAGAATAGAGACTGTGTGATCAGCTCGCCATGCTCCATCCAATCCAGCCTGTATGCACCTCTCCTCTCTTCCCTCCCTCGAGTGCTACTCACTGCTCCTGATCCGGAAACCATTGACAAGTCAAAGTAGGCCACTCTAGTGCATGAGTCACAACCAAGTCGTAGAGGTAAGGCGAGTTCTTCTTCCAGATCTTGTACTCCTCATTGCTGATCATCGCCGCGTTCGCTTCGGCATCCTCGACGACTTCGACGGGAACGGCAGAGGAAGAGGCAGCAGCGGCAGCAGCAGCGGCGGCGACGCTCATGTTTGAATTTCTGCAGACGAAGGAGGAGAGGGGAACGAGGAGATGAGGCGATGTGGGTATGTTATAGGAGTCTACGAGGGGAGCAGCAGAACGTCTCGCGGGAAGGATCGCTCTACTCACTGACTGTTCCTCGACTGTCTGTGCGGGCGGGGCGGCGCGCAGAGCCAAATTGGCACACGCAAACAACGCGACGTGCGGAGCGGAGCCAGAGACGGACAGGCAGGCAGCTCACACGTACTGTAAACCACACACACACACACACACACACGCCCAACGAATTCATCTACGTTGTTCCACGAAGCCTTGTTCATTTCAAAGGGTAGTGTTTGCTAGACGACACAAGAAAAGACGATACGGCAGGCGCTCAAGGACAAGAGACAGACACATTGCTCCACTAACCAGCAAAGGTGGGGCCAGGATGGGCCTCCCAAGATTGAACTCTGTCAGTCAGCCAAAGACGTGCAGTCTTCATCTCCCTTTTGATCCTTCCCTACGTTTACTTGGACTCCTTCGACATTCGCTCAGCCTTCTCACGAGCCTCGCTCAGGTCACCAACCATGTAGAAGGCAGACTCTGGCAGGTCGTCAGCCTCTCCGTTGATCAGGGCCTTGATCGAGCTGATCGTCTCCTTCAATGGCACCAGTCGTCCCTCGATACCAGTGAAGACCTGGGCCACAGCGAAGGGCTGCGACAGGAAACGCTGCACCTTTCGGGCACGCTCGACGACCAGCTTGTCCTCCTCGGACAACTCGTCCATTCCCAGAATGGCGATGATGTCCTGCAGCGACTTGTAAGACTGCAGCAGCTGTTGGGTCTTGGTGGCGACGTCGTAGTGCTCCTGACCAATGACGACGGGGTCCAGCAGACGGGACTTGGAGTCTAGAGGGTCGACGGCGGGGTAGATACCCAGCTCGGCAATACCACGGGACAACACAGTGGTGGCGTCCAAGTGGGCAAAGGTGGTGGCAGGGGCAGGGTCGGTCAAATCATCGGCGGGCACGTAGACGGCCTGTACCGAGGTGATGGATCCCTTCTTGGTGGTGGTAATTCGCTCCTGCATGCTTCCCATGTCCGTGGACAGAGTGGGCTGGTATCCGACGGCAGAGGGGATACGACCGAGCAGAGCAGAGGTCTCGGAACCTGCCTGGGTGAATCGGAAAATGTTGTCGATGAAGAGGAGCACATCCTGTCCCTCCTCGTCACGGAAGTACTCGGCGATGGTGAGACCGGTCAGGGCGACACGGGCACGGGCTCCGGGGGGCTCGTTCATCTGACCGAACACGAGAGCGACCTTGGAGTCACCTTCGAGGTTGATGACACCAGTCTCGATCATCTCGTGGTACAAGTCGTTACCCTCACGGGTTCGCTCACCGACACCGGTGAAGACGGAGTAACCACCGTGGGCCTTGGCGACGTTGTTGATCAGCTCCTGAATCAGCACAGTCTTTCCGACACCGGCACCACCGAAGAGACCAATCTTTCCACCACGAGCGTAAGGGGCGAGCAGGTCGACGACCTTGATACCAGTCTCGAGGACCTCGGCAGAGGTAGACTGCTCAGAGAACTCAGGGGGCTCACGGTGGATGGGCGAGCTCTTGACACCCTTGATAGGACCCCTCTCGTCGATGGGCTCACCAATGACGTTGATGATACGACCAAGGCATCCGGGACCGACCTGGATAGAAATGGGGGCACCAGTGTCCTGGACCTTCTGGCCACGAACGAGACCCTCGGTACCGTCCATGGCAATGGTTCGGACAGTGTTCTACGTTGAAGGGAGTAGCAATGCTTGGGATGTCAGTACATATATCGATGGAGGCAAGATTGGTGCTGCATCGCCACTCACCTCTCCCAGGTGCTGGGCGACCTCGAGGACCAGTCGGTTACCGCTCTGAACATCCTGAACCTCCAGGGCGTTGAAGATGGCAGGCAGATCCTCGTTCTCGAATTGCACGTCGACGACGGGACCAATGACAGACTGTGGGATTAGGTGAGGCAACGTGCCGCGCGGGAGATGGTGTCAGCCTTACAGCCCTGCTGTTGTTGCAATACTGCCAACGGAGGTGCTCACCTTGACGGCACCGAGCTGACCCTTGCCGGAAGCGGGGGTGGCTAGGCCACGAGCTGATGGAATGGAGAAGAAGTGGTGAGGTAAGTATCGATCCTTGCGAATGTGTGCGGCAGTCGCAGGTGCAAGGAGCAGCATTGCGCCATCTACAGCCCTCTGCTTGCACGTTCCCCGACGAGGATGTGGTGCATCGATGTGGGCACAGCACCGACACCATCGTCCATGCACATCTGGCCCGCATGCCTCTATGCCCTTTTCCAGCGCACCATCTGACCCTGACTGTCTGATCTTCATTCCTACGCGATCGAGTATAGATACGAACCTTGAACAGCAGCGACCTTGGGAAGGGCTCGGGGGAGGGCAGTGGGGCGAGCATTGCTGACAGCTGGGGCTCGGACTGAAAAGGCGACAGAAGGGAGAGAGTGAATGTGTGAGCATATGCGATACCATTAGTGGGTGCGCGTCGTGGTGGAGCTTCCATTCGAGGAATGGGGACCTTCCCGCCCTTGGGCCCCATCGCGTGTAGCCTCCTTTGCACCACTGCAGAGACTCGTACTGCTCTCAATCTCATCATCATCCCCTCGACCTTGCACAGAAGTGCTTCCTTTTCATCTTGCGAGAGGGATCCATGTACTCACCAGCGGGTGCGACGGCGGTACGAGCGAGGGAGCTGAGGCTGCGGCTGCTCTGAGCCTGTCGAGCGAGGGAGCGCGGGGCCCTGAGAGCGATGCGCTGCATTCTGAAGTGTCTGCTAAAGGTGTGTGAAGGCGGGAGGAGAGGAGGAGAAAACAGAGACGCCCTCTTGGTGATTGGTATAAGGGGGAGGAAGGGGGGGGAGTTGATGGTAGTGGGTGGAAGATTGGGTGGGGGGCTCGTGGGAGGAGATGCGAAGAAGAAGGGGCGCACTGGCAGGGCAAGGGCGGGCGGGCGGGCGGGCGGCGCTTGGGTGATGGAGGCGGGTCATGACCAGCTGGCTGGCTGCCTGGCTGAGGGCCATTTGCCTTCTCGGGTCTCTCGCCCCGCCTGGGTGCCCTGCTTGGCTGGCGGGAAGAGCCGGGAATGTCGCGCGCACACACACACACGCAAGCCCAATGTCCGTCCACCTTCCCCTCGGCCATTGCTCTTGCGCCCGCGAATTCAACCTCCGACCCTCCGCTTGGCCCCCCCACTTCCGTGGACGATGGACAAGGACGACGAGCAAGTCGAGTGACCAAAGCGCAACAGGAAGGGTACGCTCACCTCTGCTTGGAGAAGCATCACAAGCACAAGCAGATAGCATACAGCCAACGTCACTCATCAGCCATGTCGGAACATCCAGCATTCACAATGGCCGCCCTGACCAGCATCGGCGGCACCATCGGCTTCCTCAAGACTCGCAGCGTCGTGAGTCCACACTGCATCCCCTCCCTGTCCACTCTCCACTCTCCACTCTCCACTCTCCACTCTCCACTCTCCACTCTCCACTCACCCTTCCTCGTTTCCCTCTTCGACCCCACAGCCCTCCCTAGTAGCCGGCGTAGGAGTTGGAGTGGTATACGCCCTCGCAGGCACCAGGATCAAGAGTGGCCAGGACTACGGTTACGAGCTAGCAGCGGCCAATTCACTCTTGCTCGTGGGAAGTAGCGCGCCTAGGTTCGCAAAGGGACCCGTGCCGAAGGGCTTGACATTGAGTGAGTGGCTAGCGTCGGACAGACAGACAGAACGGGAGTGGGAAAGAAGTCAAGGATGCTGCTGATACTTCTTCCCTGGCCTCTTTCGCGTGCTCTCCTCGTCTGCGAATCCAGTCGGCACACTCGGTGAGTCCACAGCTTCAACCTCTTGCCCTCTTTTGATCCGCACCGCTGACCCACCCACTACCCTCCCTTGCAACCGCTTTCACTCTCTACAGCCCTCGCATTCTATGGAAAGAAGGTCTACGACTTCCGCGCTTGATCCTGACATTCTCCCTTGTAGCGCAAAGCCTCTTGCTTTCATTGTAACGATACAACGCAAGACCACTTCATTCACCTCACGAGCTGTGCATATAGTTTGCTCCGAGAGACAGGCACAGACTATCATATCCACAGCCGAGATCACGAGCGACTGAGTTTGACCTTTGGCGAGGTCATCAATGACGCTTTTTGAAAAGAGAGAGAGAAAAAGGGATATACAAGAAGAGTCTCTTCGCACAGGGCAGAGGAAGCGCGGGGGGTCTGTCCCATTTCTCAGAGTACTGGGCTTAAACCACCTCACCCGGCTAGCCGCCTTCACCGACCAGTCATGACCTGTCATCTAGACTCCATTGGCCTGTTGCTGCATCTGCTGCTGCTGTTGAGCCTGCTGCTGCTTGGCACTGCTCTCCTTGAGGGCTAGGAGCTGCCTCGACCTGAAAGCCTCGTAATGCTTGAGGGCAGTCGTCTCAATCAGGTCTTGTAGATGCGTCCTGGTCAAGAATGTTCGCAGCTGGTTGAACTCGCAGTGGTTCTCGTTCTCTACGTTGATGACGCCGTATCGGTTCTTGCGACCACGCACGGTCTTGCCATCGATGACCACATTGCGCTCAGAACCGACAACAGCAAAGGGGATCAGGTCCTGAGAGGGAGGAGGAAGGAAGGGAAATCAGCACCTGACGTCTCTTATCGGCCCTGCCTGTCTTACTCACCCTCATCCTCTCGTTGAGCTCCCTCTCGCCCTCCTCGAATTCGTCGCTGTCAAAGGGGTACGCATGAATGTCATGGTACTCCATCTCATCACGAATCCTCGCCTTGAACTGTGCCCGCTCCTCCAATGTCAAGCTGTCGCTCTTGGCAATCACCGGCACCACGTTGACCACGTCGGCGAGCTTCTTCATCACGGTGACGTCGATGGGCCGCAGAGTGTGGCCGGTGGGGTTGATGAAGAAGAGGCAGCAGTGGATGCGGGTATCTGTAATGTAGCGCTCACGCATAGCGGTCAGCTCTTTGCGGAGGTATGCCGAGTGTTGGTCTTTGATGTACTTGATGATAGGGTCCCAGCTGCAGAGCAGAAATCCAGAGAGCAACGTCAGAGATGTCCTCAGTAGGTAACGAGGCACGGACAGCCCTACTCACCAGTTTTCGTTGTTAATCTGCTCACCGTATCCGGGGCTGTCGACGATGTTGAGACGCAGCTTCACACCGTTCTCGATGATGACTGAGGTATGGAAGAAGCGAATGCATATCTCGTCAGTCGTTCGCTCCTCCTTCATGACGGCTCACTGGTTAAGCTTGGAATAGCTTCTTTGCTCTACTCACGATGTGAGACTGGGTGAATTTCAGTGGTAGATCTAGGCTGCTCAAAAGCATCTACACGTCCCTTTGAGTCGATGAGGTGGCTAGCGAAGAGTGTGTTGATGAGAGTCGACTTTCCCAGACCAGTCTGACCAACGACCATGACCTGGAGAGTGGGAGCAAAAGAGCCACAGGGGGTGGGACGAGCTTCAGCAACTGCGCAATCGATAGGTCGCACGGTACAGCCAGCTTTGCAGAGCATCTACGACTCCTCCCAAAAGAAAAGATCGACGACTGGAAGGAGGATCCCTTGCTATCGCCCCCTTTGTCGAAGGTGGCAGAGACCAACACTCACATTGAACTGGAAGCCCCTCTTCAGCAGCTTTGTCTCAATCTGCCTAGTGATCGAGTCAAAACCGACGTACTGGTTGAGTGGGGTAGGCTGAACTTCTGTCATCTTTGCAGCAGAAGCGTATCAGCACAGGCGTAGGAGACGAGGATGGTCGAGTTGGTATTAGTCGTGGTGGAAGAGGAGGTGATCGACCGAGGACAAGAGAGTGAGTACCGTACGCCCTCAGAATTGAGAGCCAGCCACGACGCACACACGCACACAAGCACAAGCACACACACGCCCACCGCGCCCCGGCCACTGCACCGGAACGGAAGAAAGCGCTCGAGCCATGCACGCCACGCCTCTGGAATTGACGGAAGTCCGGCTTCACTCGGCAAGAACATTCGGAGATGGTGCCTCCTCCGCACTCGCAGGCAGCTTCCACCTTGCCTTCCTTCCACCCATACCAACAGATACACCACCCAGTATGCCCCGTGTACCGTACTCATACCCTGCTCCTGGAGCATCTTCCATCGCAGATGCTATCCGCCAACGACGTGGAGAGCGAGGACTGACGCCCCTCGATGGCATGCTCCTCAACGCCCAGCCCATTGCCGAGGGATGGAACAAGCTCCTCGGCGCTGTCAGGACCGGCTCGTCGCTTCAAGACGATCTCAGAGAGATCATGGTGAGAGCACAGAAGACTGAGATGGTCGCTCCCTGAATACTGGCTGATTCTCACCTCGCCTTGCTTCTTCCCCGCCGTCAGATTCTTCGAGTCGCTGCCCGCAACCGCGCTGCCTTCGAGTGGATCCATCATGAGCCCGTAGCGCGCAAGGCTGGCGTCACAACCGAGCAGCTCACCCGTATTGGGGACATTCAGAGCAATTCCTTCTCTTCTCCCGGTTCAGGCCAGCTCTCCCCCTTGCAAGCAGCCGCAGCTGCATACGCCGATGCCATGACCGCCCACGTCAAGGTGCAGGACGGCGTCTTTGATACGCTCAAGCACGAGCTTGCCAAGGCGGCTGGTGGGGACGAGAAGACCAATCAGCTCATGGTCGAGGCGACGGGTACTGTCGCCGTGTACAACATGGTCTCGCGCTTCCTAGTCGCTCTGGACATCGACGACCGAGCCAACCAAGAAGTTCCCGTGCCAGGTCTGCCTTCAGACAACGGTGCAGGAGTTCCCACCTTCCCAGAGTCCAACTACGGAGCCGGTCGAGGTCTAGTGCAAGTCTTCGGAGGACAGACGATTGCTACTCGGGTGCACTTCCACTCCATGACTGCGCCATGGGTCATCCTGATCAACTCGCTCATGACCAACCTCACAATGTGGGACGATGTTGTCGCCGGGCTTAGCGACGCCGGGTACAACGTCGTCTGCTACGATCAGAGAGGCCATGGCGCCTCGCCCGCTCCCTCAGAGCCATGCACAGTCGAGCAACTAGCCGATGATGCAGCTGACGTTCTGACTGCCTTGGGTGTGGACAAGGCTCGCGCCGTCATCGGTGTCTCGCAGGGAGGAGCCACTGCCCTCTCCTTTGCCATCCGTCATCCAGACCGCGCCGAGAAGATTATTGCAAACGACACACAGCCCGCCTCTCCTGCTGCCAACGCCCAAGCATGGGAAGACCGGATCGCCCTCGCCAAGAAGGAGGGCATGAAGCCCCTCGCAGACGCTACCGTCGCACGGTGGTACGGCTCGGACATTCCGGCGGGCAGCGAGGCCATCAAGGCCAAAGCCTCCCGTCTGATCGAAGGGACGGACGTCTTCGGCTTCGAGCAAGGCGCACGGGCTCTGCAGAATTATGATCTGCTCTCTACTGGACTCCTCAAAGCCCTCGCTGCCAAGCCTACCCTCCTCGTTGCGGGAGAGGCAGATGGAGCTTTGCCCAAGGTACTTGAGGGATTGAGCCAGGATGTGAAAAAGGAGGGAGGCAGCGCTGAAGTGACCTTTGCTAGCGTGAGCAAGGCGGCTCATCTGCCCATGATGGACAACCCGCAGGGCTGGTTGGAGGTCGTTCTGCCTTTCTTGAAGAGGTGATAAAGGGATGCTGGAAATCTACACTTCAATGGCATCAGGTGACAATGACGATACTCATTCACCAATCAGAATGAAGTGTGACAAAAGAGTGACAAAGGACCGCTATGAGAAAGGAGCAGGTATGAAGGGAGCGACATGGTATGATGCACACATCTAAGGGAAAATAATAGAGACCGTCTATCGCACCGCTAGGCTGGTGCTTGCGCTCTACTCCGCCTCCTTACAAATCTCCCCCTAGTCCCGCCCTCACAAGCAAAAGAGCTTACTCGACTTCTTCCTATTCACCTCCTCCAACCTCGCCTCAAGATCCCTAGCAGCCTTCTCCTTTGCCATCCTCTCTGCTCGAATCTTTTGCTCATAGTCCTGCTTCTCTACCAATGTGCTGCTCCTCACACTATCCACCTCCTTCTGCGAAGCCTGTAATTGCGTTCGCAGATCCTCCGTTTGAGAGGCATAGCGATCGCGTTCCCGTGTAACTTCGCCGAGCTGCACGCGCGACTTGCGCAAGTTGCGCTCCGAGTCATTCAACGCGGCCTCGAGGGTGGTGACCAGATCGATGTTGGCCTGCAGATCGGCCTCGCAGTGCGAGAGCTGCTTGGCCAGCTGCCTGAGCTCCTCGCCCTGCTCCGTGAGGAGCTTCTTGGCCTCTTGGCTGCCAAGGTTGTTCAGATTGATGCTGGCCATGGAGGTGTGTCTGGATCCGCCGGAGGAAGAGCGAGTCAAGGCGCTCGTGCCAATGGTACCAGTAGGCGTTGTGGGTCCTGGTGACTCGGCCCTTGTCATCAGAGAGGAGAGGGATGTGCGGGCAGCCAGAGGAATCGAACTGCGAGGCAGCGTTCCACCAGCACCACTGCCAGACGTAGGTGGAGTGGGAGGCGGTGGAACCTTGGGAGGAGGGGTGGGCGGTGGCATTGATCTCCGACCAACCATAGCGGGGGTGCCTACAGGTGTAGATGGGCCAGGTGAGGATACGGTAGTATCGCCCAGTGTGACATCGGCGTCCTGTTCCTCGCTGAGACGCGGAAGGAAGCTCTTTCCACCCGCAGCATCCTCTTGCAGATCCCGCAATTGCTGCTCCAGCTTCGTTCGCTCTTCCGTGATGGCCTGCACCTCATTCTTACTGCGCTGCAGCTCCGTCTTTAGGTTCGTCAGGTTGTGCCTGTAGGTCACCATCTCCCTTCGGAGCTCAGCCGCCTCGGCTTTGAATTCCTCTGCTTGGTTGTCGCCGCCTTCGGAACGGAGGCGATTGAGCTCCTCGACAAGCTCGTCTCTTTCAGCAGAAACGCTGGTGAGCGCGTCCTCCAGAATGACCAGAGCGTCGCCTGTCTCCATCAGCTCGTTTCGCAGACCGTCAACGTCCACGAATTTGCCATTCACATCGTACAGGCCAGAAAGACGGCGAGATAATGACGCGACTTCCTGTTCGTGCGCCTGGCGGAGAGACTCGAGTTTGGCTTCATGTTCCTCCATCATGCGTTGCCTCTCTGTTTGATGAAGGTTGTGGACATCAGCCAGCATACGATGGCGCTCGGCATTTGCTTTTGCCTCGAGGCTGGCAAGGGCAGCCCGGTGCTCAGAGTCAACGGTGGCTGCAGAATCGGTGGACGAGCGAAGATCCTTGGCCACAGCAGCTGCAGTGGCAGCAATTCCAGCTTCTGCTTCCACGCGGTGCTTGGCGAAGGCTTGTTCGTGCTGCAGCTTCGACTCAGCGAGAGCTTCTTCGTGTTGGCTCTTCAGGTCAGCGAGGGCCTTCTCATGTTCGTGCACCTTTGCCTGCATCTGATTCGTCAACTCTGCGAGACTTGCTTGATGTGCCGCGTCTCTCTCAGCCAGCTGACTGCTCAACGCTTGTGCATGCTCTTCCTCCAGAGTGGTGAGCTGCTGGTCAAGTAGACTTCGCAGATCCGCAACAGCAGCATCCTTTTCGGATAAAATACGAGCAAGAGCCGCTTCATGCGCTTCTTGAGCCTGTTGCAAAGCGGCGCCTTGAGCGCTCCTGCTTGACGCGTCAGCCTCGGAGTGTTCCCCGATCAGCTTGTCGGTGATACTCTGGTGATCCGCCTTTGCCGTCTCCAACGCTGTCTGATGATCGGCCTTCAAGGACTTCAGGGCAGTCTCATGTTGAGCGGTTGTCCTCTCTAGTGCCGTTTCGTGCTCTGTCTTCAACGAGTCCAGTACAAGCTGATGCTCTGCCCTCTTTGTTGCCAGTGCTGCCAGATGCTCCGCCTTCATCTGATGCAGATTTGTCTGATGCTCCGCCCCGTTCGCCTCGAGTGCAGCCTGTCCCTGTGCCTTTGCCGACTCCAGGGCACTCTGATGCTCCGCCTTCATCGAGTCCATAGCGGCTAGATGCTCTGCCCTTGCGCCTTCAAGAGCAGACTGGTGCTCCTCAGTCAGTCGTGCTACTGCTGCTGCGGCTGCACCTTCCGCTTCCTTCTCCTGATCTGACAAATCTCCATCTACTGGAATGGCGGCGGGCGCGTTGGGCGCCTCGACTTGCAGGGAGGCCTGGTCGCTGATCGCTTTGAGCTTCTCTTCGAAAGCGCGCTCCCGCTGCGTTAGCTCATCTTGGCTGTCGGCAAGGGCCTGGCGGAGCTGCTGGACCTCCTGAGCCATCATCGTGCTGTCGCGATCCTGAGAGGGAGCGGACTGAGATGGCTGGTCTTCCTTGACGATGGTGACATCGGCCTCCTTGTCGTTCTTAGCAAGAGCAGCCAGCTGCTCCTTGAGCCTCTCATTCTCCGCCGCAAGATCAGCAGACTGAACCTCCGCTGTCTTCTGGAGCGTCTCGCTCATCTGTCTCTCCGCCTCGAGCAGGGCCGCAAGCTCATCCGTCTTGCCTCGATGCAGCTCTTCCTGGTGCGCCATCGCCCTCAGCAGCTCATCGATTCGACTGGTGTCCGTACTCCTGACCGCCGTCGAGGGAAGCGAGCCGTTTTCGGATTCTTTGCTCGAGCCGGCAAAATACTGCCCAGGCCCTTCAATGGCGTCGCGGTCGAGAGCAGGCGTAAAGAAGGCTTGGGGGTAGTCGGTCAACGTAGGAGAGACGCCTCCTGCGCCCAACAAGTTCATGTTTGGCTCAGCGGGCTTGAGGTCTCTGGCGATCTCGCTCTCATCGACAACGGGCTCAGTGGTTGGACCGATGATATTGAGGCCGACCACAGGCGTCGAAGCAGAATTGCTTCCTTCGGCATCCCTGCTCTTCAGAGCCGCTTGGAGACTGGCAATCTCCGCCTCTCGCTTCTTGAGGACCTCCTGCAAGGACATGAGGCCCTTTTCCAGCATGGCATTCTTCCTATCATAGCTCGCCGGTGACCTTCCTTCGAGCTGCTTTCCACCAGGGGATTGCTGCGTCATCGTCGGCGACGGCGGTACCGAAAAGGAGATTGTCGATGATCCGGAAAGCGATAGTGGTCGAGGAGCTCTGCTGCCGGTGCTGATGCTGTTGCTGCGACTGGCTATAGCAGTGGAAGAAGTGGCCGAAGAGAGCTCCTGCGATAAAGACTGTGACAAGGAGCGCGGTCTTTCCCGCCCAGACGGTGAGTCTGGGCCTCCCTGTCGCGGGTTGTACCCAAAAAAAGAGCTCGCTCTTCTATTAAGGGTCAGTTGTTCGTCTGCTCTCGATGGCGAGTCCTCACCGTTGGAACGGTGAGGAATGTACTGCATCGAGCCTCGCCGGCTCAAGTTGGGTCGAGGAGAAAAGTCAGAGTCGACTGAAGCCAGTAGCTCCTCTCGAGGTTCCGAGAAGCCTGCTTCCGAAGATGGCCTTTGATTCTCGGGAGCGAAGCTCGAGATCTTTGCCTCTGAGATCTGGAGCTGGAGTTTCTGGAGCTGCTCTAGAGTCTCCTGATGCTTGACATTGATCGCTTCTAGCTCGTCCTTGGCCTGCTTTTCGCCCTCACGGCTGCTCTGCGCTTGTTGACGCAGGGCTTCAAGTTCACTTTCAATCGAAGGCGAAGGGACTTTGATCTCTTCGTGATTTTCGTTGGCCAGCGAGGGTTCCCCATTTGGCACAGCCTGTGATGCATCTCGAGCCTCGCCAGCGGTGCTTGCAGCAATAGCAGCCTCGAGCTCCCGGATCTTGTCCTCCAAGGTTCCGCGATGTAGCTCATGAGCAGCAGCAGCATCATTGAGACGGCCTCTTTCCTTGACGACCATGTCATGCTCCCCCTTGAGAGCGTCCATCTCAGCTCGCAGCTCTAGATTGGACTGCTCGCTCCTCTGGAAATCCTCCATGATCGCCTTGGTCTGCTCGTCATTATTCAGTGCTTCAATGCGCTGCTGCAGCTCCTTGTACGCCTCGTCTCGACGCTCGACGTCCTTCTCCAGGCGCTCAACTTGAGCCGTAAGCGTCACGACACTCTCATCTGCCTTTGCGAGTCTCTCCTCAAGACCCTTGATGTACAGCTCTCTGCTAACCTCACCTTCCTTCATCTTCACCATTTCCTTCTTGAGCTCCACGGACGCCTCTGCCTCACCGGCGTCCTTGCCAGAGAAGGACTGCAGACGTGCTTCAAGATCACGCGCATACTCCTCTGTAGCGGTCTCTCGAGTTTGCACTTTTGCCAGACGAGCTTGCAGCTCGACGATCGTCGTCTCACGAGCCTCGAGCTGTTGCTCAACATTCAGCATGCGCTGTTCCTGTTGAGAGACAGTGTTCTCGAGCTCGTAGACCACTTCCTCGGTATGGCTCAATGCAGCCTTCATGAGGTTGCACTTGTTCTCCAGATCCTCAATTGCCCGCTCATACTCGATGATGATGGGCTCAGCAGCTGCGAGGAAGGCCTTGTCATCATCTTCCGCAGAGCCTCTGTGCTGCAACTTGGTCAGCTCGACGGTGAGCTGGGCTAGCTTCTGGCTGATCTCAGTGTATTTGCCCTGCCACAGCATCACTTCCTTGTTCTCCAAGGCCTTCAGGGAGGCAACGTCGCCACTACCTTTGGCACCTTTGAGGATGCCGAGCTCTTTGCGTAGTCGCGTCACTGTCATCTGCAGGTAGGAGATGTCGTCCCAGCCCATCTCCACTGCGCCCTGCTCGACCTTGTTTTTGATGTTGCGAGCCCGGTTGGCATACTGAAGAGTATTGATCGTCTCACCCACGTTGTATTCCGTCGGGGCTACACAGGCGATCATCAGCGTGTGCGCATTACCTCCCAGACTGTCCTGCAATAGTCTAGTCAGTTTCGAGTCTCGATAAGGAACATGCGTCGTCCTCTTGGCCTTTGAAGGATCGCCAAGGGCAGAGATGACATTGCCCAGAGCATGCAGTCCAGCGTTGATCGAGATCCCCTCCTTTGCACGATCACCTGCAGCATTAGTCCGCTTGAGCCTTTCCGAACCTGCCAGATCCACAAAGTGGAACTTGGACGTGACAATCTGCCAGCTACCATCAGCTGACCCCGCAGTCGGCGTCCCTGGTTGAGGCGTGGTGCTCCTGGAGTTGAGCGAGCTCGTGGGACGACCACCAAGCGAGGCCCTCCCAGAGCTGTGTACAGCAGGAGATTGCGCGCGGAGCCCACCAGGCATCATCGAGACTGGCCGTGGGATACCCGACGACGTCGAACGTCCTGTAGGAGTGGTCCTGCCACTGGGCGTACTCCTACCGCCGGTGAGGTAGCTAGAGGCAGCAGTAGGAGGAGGAGGAGGACCCGTCCCGACCCACCGCTGCTGTGTTAAGGTGAGCGAGAAGATGGCGTGAGACCGTGAAGACTGGGCGTTCATATCAGTTTCGTTGGTCCTTCGAATAGAAGAACCTTGTAGCAAGAGGTTCATCACATCTGTGACGCCTTGAACCTTCGCCTCTCGCAGCCCACTCCAAAGAATATTCCCAGCCTTGTCCTCTCTGATTTGAACGAGCGGTCGAGCGCCTCCTTCACTGTCGCCAAGCAGATCGATGAGCTCTTCATTGTAAATCTCGATGAAGCTAGCCTTGGCCGAATACGAGATGGCTCCCGTCTTGCGCTGACTTTGCTTGACTTGATTGAAGATTTCTGCTACAGCTCTTGGGATGATTCCGATCTGAGGGTCAATCGCCTGACCAGCGACTAGCGATTCGAAGTCGACGTCGGCTGTACTTGTACCCATGGTAAAGGACTTTCCACTTGAAGTCTGCCCGTAGGCAAGGATTGTCGCATTGTATCCATCCAGAAAGTGTGTGATGAGAGGCTGGGCTACTGCATATACTTGCTCCTGCCCATCCTCTTGCCCTAGGACCCTATCGAAAGTCCACGCTTGTCTTTTGATCCCTCCAGAGGTACTCGCAAGGGCGTCCGGAGGTCCTGTGGAAGGCTCAACTTGAACGGAGCTCGAAGAGGTAGGGACTACCACGGCTCTTTGCCATCGAGGAGCAATCGTAGCCTCATCGTGCGAGTTTAGCGGACGAACACGGACAGCTAGAGAGCCAGTCACGAATGATGAGGAAAGGAAGAGCTTAGCACTTAATCGAGCCACCCCTCCGCCTTGCATGACGCTCGTGTGTACTCACCAACCTGGACCGAAGTAGTATTTGCTCCTGCCGTTGCTCCTGCTCCATCTTGGCTACTCTGCTGATGCTGATGCTGCGCTGTCGACCCTCCCAATGACAAAGAAGAAGACGCCGAAGTCGCTCCCTGGCCATTGTGTCCCATGGACAGTCTTGGACGAGCAGCCGACATGGTGGAAGCCAGACAGGGACGAACTTCCCGAGAAGCTCGGTTGATGAAGCTGCCAGACCCTCTTCAGGGGTGCGCCCGAGCCTATACTGTGCTCAGGGGCGGTCGTGTCCAGAATCAGGCAGCAACTCAAGCTGTGATTGAAGTTCCACTATGAGTAGGCAGCGAGAGCTGTGTGTGGGTATGTTGTGTATCGCGAGACAGAGTAGAGAGATCTGTGCTCCTCTCAACTCGTGTAGGTGTGTATGACCGTCGGATGTCTCGGTCGTTTGTACGAGATGGAGATGGAGGGTCCAAGCGGGGGATGTATCTGCCTCTCCTGCTCTTGCTCAACTCTCAGCGAAGCCCTGTGAGGTGACAACGTACGAGTAGCAAGACTGTTAGTCCACTCCCCAAGCGCAGCAGCAAACCAAACGGGAGAGATCTAGCTAGCGCCGTTGTCCCCTCAGAACTCGGAAAGGAAGAGGATGGGGCCGGGATGGGGTAGAGGCAAGGGGCAAGGCAAGGTACAGTACTCTAAATAGGAGGGCAAAAGATTGAAGCGGAGCCAGTGCGCCGGAAGTGGGGACGTGTTGGTCTCGCAAAAGGCACGCAGCCTTGCAGCCTTGCAGCCTTGCAGCAGCAGCAGCGCCCAAGCGCCATTGTGAGCGCAGCACAGATACGCCGGCTTCATGACGCCCTCTACAATCAGATGCTCAGGAGCTAAGGTGGAAGGGGGGATTGTAATTGCTGGTTTGGATGAGTGTGAGGCGGGGGAAAGAGGGGAAATGAGGGCGCACTTGGGCGTCGTTGGGACAGGTAGGGGACAGGGAGGGGAAGAGGGGGCGATAAGTGGATGAAGAGGGGTTGGAAGATGGGGATTACAGGCGAACGAGCGAGAGTATATGAGCATACTCTGAGCAGACAATTTGCGGTACGGGCTACGCCCGAGTGAGGGAGTGGAGAGGTGTCAGACCCTGTTGAAGAAACTGACGTGGGATACTCTTGGAACGAGCACTTGGCGACTTTCGCGCGTCATCTGCTCTTGGGAGCATGTCCAGGCGACACGACCGAAAGGTGGTGGTTGCCTGAAGGGAGGAAGACGATCGCGACGATCGAAGGTCGTCAGGCTGGATGCCGAGGATGCAAAGCATTCAGTGGCGATTGCGAGGTCGTAGAGGGGGGAGTCGAGGGGCAGCAGGTGAGCCTTGTGAGCTTGATGCATGCGAAAAAGCCGAGGCCAGTGTTGGATGGTCCCAAAGTGGGGACATGATCATGATCAGGAGGTGAAATTGAGCGCAATGCGCGACGAGTCTTGTGTGAAAGGCGAGACCTTCTGACGGTGCTTTACATTGGCGCACACGTGTTGTCAGGAGGTCAAGTCTGGATGCGAAGGGGCGAAGGAACCGAAACTGAGGGCGGATTGAGGACGTCTTCGCTGCGCTTCTGGCGAAATTGTAGACGTTTCTTTGACACTGTGGAGTGCTGATGGCGGAATGGGACTGAGCCAAATGCTCACAGCGTTTCGAAAGAGAGCGTGCGGCGACGAGGAGATTGGAAAGCTGTTCTAGGATACGGTGAAGATCTTGGCGAGGAGAGCAAAGCAGGGGCCGACTATGGTTGGAGGTCCCACAGCGATGCAACTGGCCGTAAGAAGCATCGCCTCGACTAAGCCTGAGCCGAGGGAGGAGCGCCAGCGCCGCCTCCACCCCCTGGACCTCTTCTTTGACCGCGGTGAGCTACGCTTTGAGTGAAGTTCTGGCTCTGAGGAATAGCGTTGGCGTGCATGGCAGCCTGCGTAGGTGGAATGACCGGCATACCGGCCTGATTGGCCTGTCCGTTCTGCCTCTTCTGGTTGCCCCGCTGCTGCTGCTGCTGCTCTTGCTGCTCAGCGGACTGGATCAGAGATGGAGCGACGTAAAGCTTCTTGTCGATCTGCGACGGGATCGGCTGAATCTCGGTTCCGAGCTCTTGTTCGATCCGGTAAAGGTTGAAGCGGTCCTCGTAGGTGATCAGATTGATTGCTAGACCCAGGTGACCAAATCGACCGGATCGACCGATGCGGTGAAGGTAGGTCTCTGCGTTCTTGGGGAAGTCGAAGTTGATGACGACGTTGACCGCTTGAATATCGATACCTCGGGTGAGGAGGTCGGAGCAGACGAGGTTTCGGCATGCGCCATTTCGGAAGTCGTGGAAGACGCGGTTACGGTGGGCCTGGAGCATCTTGGCATGTGAGTAGAAACAGGAGTAGCCAAGCTCGGTGATCTTCTTGGCGAGAAGCTCGACTCGGTTCGTCGAATTACAGAAGATGATAGACTGGTTGATTTGCAGACGAGAGAAGAGGGTATTGAGGCAGTGGACCTTCTGGCGTTCCTCGACGAATGCATAGTATTGAGTGACACCACGGAGTGTGAGTTCGTCCATGAGGTTGATCTCGTACGGCTTGACCATGTGCTTGTCCTTGAAGTCCTTTACGATGAGAGGGAAAGTAGCGCTGAACAGCATTACTTGCCTTTCCTTTGGCAGTAGTCCCAAGAGCTGTTCCATGACGGGTGTGAATTCAGGTGAAAGGAGCTTATCGGCCTCGTCCATGACAAAGGTCCCACATTCGCTAAGGTCTGCCAGTCCTTTGCCTGCCAAGTCCAAGATTCTTCCGGGGGTGCCCACGAGCACATGCACGGTCTGGTTCAGTCGCAAGATATCGTCCTTGAGCGTCGTTCCTCCTGTCGTGACCATGATCTCCACACCAAGATGCTTTCCTAGCGTCTTTGCAACTTGTGATGTCTGTAGTGCCAGCTCACGAGTCGGCACCAGCAGTACGGCCTGGATCTTGTTCTTCTTCGGGTTCAGTCGCTCCAACGAAGGAATGACATACGCTGCCGTCTTTCCTGTTCCATTCTTTGCTCTGGCCAGGATGTCTCTGCCAGTGAGGGCGATGGGGATGGCCTCTTCCTGGATCGGTGAGGGCTTTTCGAACCCTGCCTCAAAGATACCCATTAGCAGTTCCCTCTTGAGGAAATAGTCCTCGAAATCGTTTCCCTTTGTTTTGAGCACATCGTCTGTCTGTGGCCTCTCGTCCCGTGTGATCTTGGCTGTAATCTCAGCCTTCCATTGTGCTTCACTTTGACCTGGTGCAGGCCCTGATGTCGACATTGTGAGGGAAGGGAAGGGATCAGGGGTAAAGGGGGAGGGGGAGACTCTGGTGCGTAGTTTTGAGGTTCAGAGAGGACTGATGGTGGTGATGACCTGGTGCGTCAGAGCGTAGGTTGTAGACGTGGCCAATACTGCGCTCGAAGTATGCGGGCGGCAGGGTCGAGGTGTTCGGTGGACCTAGATGGTGATGAGCTCTAGGCAGGTAGGAGATTGTAGTTAGGTGAAAAGGTGGTGATAATGGTTGCGTGTGTTTGATGATTGATTGAGCGAGCTGGAGATCTGAGATGTGCGTGTAGTATCCAGTCCGAGTGTTGTAGAGTGAAACTGTCTCAGATCGGAGCTCGATGCGAGGTGATGGTGGTGATGGTTCAAGGATGGCTGGTTGGGTTGGTAGGATGGGCTGAGACGGACGTCCTTTGTGCTTCTGATGCGCCTCTGAGGGTTTGGCGGAGACGCACGCCGTCGAGTGCAGCAGCCAGCCAACGGCCACAGAGCAATCAATCGTCTCTGCGCGGCGCCAAGGAGCGCCTCCGTCTGGCCTCAGCCTGCCTGGCCCAAGCGCAAGGCTGCAGTGCAGTGCAGGGGAGATGCTACCGTAGACTACCGTACTCTACTCTGTGCCCGGCCTGCTACTCGCTACTCGCTTCCTCGTCCGTACGCTTCCCTCAGCGCCATGATCATACGTAGAGTCAGGGGGCTGTTCCCACTAGCAGAGCCGGCAAAGGCGCTTCGTAGAAGCTTCCATGCAAGCCCTCGAGCTGCCGCTTCTGCACCCCCTCCAGAGTCACCGGGCAAGGCACGCAGCAGAAGTGACAGAGACGATGACGGTCAAGATGGCGGAGCGACAGGGAGGTTGAGAGGCATCTTGAAGTGGGTACTAGCTGGGCCAAAGGTATGCTGACTGCCATGTGCTCGGAAGCTCACTCACACCCCTGTACCGTCCCGACCCGCTCTTATAGCTCGACTGCTGCCGAGGCAGCTCTGGGAGCTTCTGCCGGTGTCATTCTGCTCGGTCTAGCGGGCATGTACTACCACTCCTGGTACAAGAAGCAAATCCTCGTCAAGATGGAAAAGGCCTTCGACCCAGGCTATGACCCCGTCTTGGCACTTGCCCAATCCAGTGCAGGGGCTCAACAGGGTCAGCTAGCATACGTACACGTAGAAGATCGAGTCGAGGATCTGCTTCTACGCAAGATCTTGCGAGGCGAAGAGAGGGGGAGATACTTTTTGGTACTGGGACCGAAAGGATCGGGCAAGACCACTTCCCTCATACAGGCCATGCAGTCGATTCAAGCAGATGGAGTCGCCTTCTTCGAAGCTCACCCGGACCCATCCATCGTCGTGGACCGCTTCTCCGAGTCGATCAACTATGCAATGTACAGAGACTTTCTGGGCAACCTCGTCGGACTCAACGATATGTCCGGCATGAGCACATTTCAGATGCTGGAGCGGGCGCTTCACAAGCTTGAAGCAGCTCTGATTCGTAGGCGGCAAAGGACAGTGAGTTGACGCAGAGGACAAGGCCCGCACATCTAGGGCAGCTCAGACAATTAACTTTTCGGCCTACTTCTCTCACATCCTTCTCTCAACAGGGAAAGCCAGCAGTGATTATTATGAACTCAGCTCACCTAGTCGGTCACGAAGACGAGGGCAAGAGGCTCCTGACTGTACTACAACAGCGCGCAGAAAAGTGGGCCTCGGCGGGCACTGCCACCTTCATCTTCACGAGTAACGACTACTTTGTCTACGACTTGCTACGGCGGAACTCGAACCGGATGGATACGCTGACCTTCAAAGACCTCTCTCAGAAGCAGAGTCTCGAAGTGGTGAGTACACAGAGGGCGAGGCGATGGCAAGTAATATGCTGACAATTCCGTCGAACGTCGTCGATTGCTCCAGCTGCGATCTTGTCGCGAACAGTACTGGTTGGAAGATCCCTCTTCTCACAATGAAGCAGACCTCGATGCAGTCTACCGGATCAGCGGCGGCCGCCTCTCACTCCTGAACAAGCTATCAAGACGCAAGAACATGCTCCGCGCAGCACACCAGCTAGTGGAAGACGATATGCAATTCCTCCTTTCCAAGACGGGCATCATCGAAGATCATGACGACGATGTGATGGACGAGCAAAAGTGGTCCACGTGTTCATGGCTACTCTTTGTCGAGCTCGCGAAGCGTCAAAAGGCACTAGAGGAAGAGATTGCAAGCAGAGCGTCTAGCTTGCCCTCATCCTCGGTTCCCTCGCTGTCCGCCATAAAGCCAGATTCCACTGAAGATGCAGACGAGGCAGGTCCTCCTCGTGTGACAGAGTCCGCCCTGACAGACCCCACTCAGGATCTAGAAGCAGATGTGCCATTAGCCAACGACGTTCCCAATCCAAGTCTCACCTGGGGTGAAGTTCGTCAAGTAATGACCCGTCCAGATTTTGTTCAACAGCTCGACCACCTAAATCTTATCCACATCGACAAGCACCATCACATCCGTGCCGACTCGATGCCCCTCTTGCGTGCCTTTCAAAAGGTCCTCGAGGAAGAGGAAGACTTTGAAGGCAAGCTTGAACGGGTCATGGATCGGGTTAGTGCAATTGAATCTTTGCTTAGGACAAAGGAGTTGGTATGGAAGGAGCAGGGGCCGGCGGGCAAGTCCATTGTTAGGAAGGACGCAAAGGGGAGGGAAATGGAGAGCTGGTTCTTCCTTGGTGGTGATGAGCGATTGGGAAGGGAGGAGGAGGGTGGGGAAGCAGCGGGGGCGTAGAAGGCGGAGGGGGGATAGAGGGACAGACTTTTCCAAAATCAATACCAGGGCTGTCAGAAGAGCCAGCAGGCGGACAATTACTCGGCTGTGCCAGTCACGAGAAGACGATCAGAATATAATGCATGACAATTTCTACCTCAAGGAGCCAGTGTGAGGGATACAGTACATAAAAAGGAGGGTGGGACATAGCAGCGGTCTTCCATCTAGACTTGCGTTGAATCCTATTTCGCTTTTGGGGGGAGTTTTGGACAATGACACATGTACAAGTCTCAAGTCTCAAGTCTCAGTTGGTGGGGGTACCACACCGACCTCCTCTCCCTCCTCTCCAGGGATCGTCTCAACAGTGTCAAGCTCCTGGAGTGCCTCCTTGATAATCTCGAAACCCCTCTGGACTTGCTCCTCAGTAATGACCAAAGGTGGAGAGAGACGAACAATGTTGACGTGTGTGGGCTTGCAGAGGACTCCCTTTGACTTGAGGAGCAGACAGAGTTGCCATGCAGAGCGCTTCCTCTGACTCTTGCTCGAGTCAATGACAATGGCATTGAACAGTCCACGACCGCGGACTTCTACGAGCATGGGAGCTTGACCAGAGTGTTGCAGTTGAGTGAGGTCAGAGCGGAACTTGGCACCCAGCGTCTCGGCACGCTCGCAGAGCTTCTCCTCTACCAGCACGTCAAGGGCTGCTTCAGCGACGGCGCAGCCCAGGGGGTTACCACCGTAGGTCGATCCGTGCTCTCCCGGCTTGATGGTAAGCATCACCTCCTTGTCGGCCAAGACGGCAGAGACGGGGTAGACACCGCCGGAGAGGGCCTTACCGAGGGTGATCATGTCAGGACGGATGCCCTCGTGCTCAACAGCGAGCATCTTACCCGTTCGTCCCAGACCAGTCTGGATCTCATCACAGATTAGCAGCACCTTGTGCTTGGTGCACAGGTCTCGTACACGCTGCAGGTAGCCAGCAGGGGGGATAACGATACCGGCTTCTCCCTGGATGGGCTCAACGAGGAAGGCAGCAACGTCCTTGCCGTGCTTGTCGAGGACGGCCTCGAGGTCGTCAGCGTTACCATAGCGGATCTTCATGTCTCCCACACCAGGTCCGACGTTGGCCAGGAAAGGACCGAAGCCGACACGTGACTCGGGGTCGGTGCTCATGGAGACAATGCCCAGGGTTCGGCCGTGGAAGTTGCCTTCGACGGAGAGGACAATGGCCTTGCCGTCTTCAATGCCCTTGACGGCATATCCCCACTTTCGGGCGAGCTTCATGGCAGTCTCGACCGCCTCGGCTCCGGTGTTCATGGGCAGCACCATGTCGTAGCCAAAGAGCTGGGTGACCTTCTTGGCAAATGGACCAAAGGCAGAGTTGTAGAAGGCTCGAGAGGAGAGGGTGAGCTTCTGTGCTTGGGCGACCAGCGCGGCAATGATGCGGGGGTGGCAATGACCCTGGTTGACAGCAGAGTAGGCGGCGAGGAAGTCGATGTACTCGCGTCCTTCTGGGTCCCATACGGAGGCTCCAGAGCCTCGGTCAAAGACGACTGGTAGAGGGTGGTAGCTGGTGAGGAGAGGTGAAGAGGTGTGTCGTTGTCAGTGTTCAGGTCTGCGGATGGTGACCGAAGCTGCTGTTCAAATGTCTGACTCACTTGTGTGCGGCATGGTCGTGCTCCAGTGCAATGGTCTCCTTGCTGGACACTGTCACGGGGTTGGCGGCAGTGGTAGCGGCAGCAATGGCTGTGTTGGCGGCTGCCTTTGCTGCTACACCGATGCTGGCGAGCTTGCTTGTGATCTGAGCAGTGGCACTGGGAGTGTGGGAAGACGATGCGCCATTGGCACCGCCGTCTCCGAGGGCGGATGAGGATGCGGTAGCGATGGGTGCCATGATCGACGGAAAGGGGCGCAGCGGGGCGTGAGGCGTGTGTGTGTGTCTATGTGTGCGTCTGCGTGCGTGCGTGCGTGTGGATGTGCAGCGTCTATTTCAAGCGCTGTAGTGCGGCGTGGTAGAGTCGTCAAGTTCTCACAATGGGGGATGAAGTAGGAGTGTTATAGAGGAAAGGGGAAGCACAAACCTCAGGACGTCTGAGCTGCGTCTTTATAATCCCTCTGCAGTCTCACCCTGGCTGGCCAAGTCTCTGGATGAAAAATGGGGAGGAGGTGTACGGAGGTGCAAGTCAAAGCTGCACCCTCGCACTCGCGGAGGTACAGGCGTGCGGGGTAAGGAATCTGCAGCCCCTGCCCACACGCGCTCCGAGGCCAGCCTGCCCGCCCGCCAAGGCTCATCTCCCGATCCGATCTGCCTCCTGAGCAAACTATCGCGAGATGAGGCAGCTGGAGCTTTTCCCAATCCACGGCTGATAGCAGGCAGAGTCATTACAGTAAGAGGTGTGATGTAAATTGACTCGCAGACGACACCCTGGAGCAGAAGTGCCGGTCCATGAGGCACTGTCGCACTTCAAGGTCACATGCCCCAGGACACTCAGATCCCTTCCGCGCATGCTCCGGCGGGTCCCCATCTCAATCAAGAAGCTCTAGTGGTCGTGTTGAAGTGCAGCGTTCACCTCGGGAGGACATTCGTGGATGACTACGGGCAAGGACTGATGCTCTGACGTCTGCCTTTGTGAACCTAACGTACTCGTGATCCCGTGGTGATTGCTTGGAGGTGCTGCGCCTCCCGGATCCGAGCGGGCTTGGTCGGAAGCCGGGGCGGAGAGGCGCTGTGGCCGTCGGGGTCGATGGTGGGGCGAGGCGCAAGCCTGCATTTGCCGTCACCCAATTCCAATCCCTCGCCTGAGACACGGCGGGCAGAGGCGGGCGTCACAGACGTAGGCCGGGAGCGAAAAAGGGCGCCTCGGAGCACACGCCGGGCGTCTCCCCCCCCCCCCCCCCCCCCCCCCCCCCCCCCCCCCCCCCCCC